TTAGAAAGAAAAAGGGGCATGAACAAGGTGAAGAATAAAAGAGAAAAGGGACTCTAACAAAGCCCAGACTACACTAGAATAGAATAGAAAAGAATAGAGTAGCTTAGAGTACCTCTTCCTCATCAGTTTCCATGGCAACAAGCCCTGTTGGTGGGATGGTGGTGCAGAAGTCTCAGCAGGAGAGAGTTTAAAAGAGGGAGTGTGTGAACATCTTTTGTGTGAGTGTTGGCTATAAAAGCATATGGACATATAAGGCAAATGTTACACGTACACACAGACAGATCCATTCAATTTCAACGTTCATCTGAAGTCAGACGTGTCTGAGGGTTTCTGATGCAGACAGAGAATAAAGGATGTGCAGCACAAGGGGGCTGCTGAGAAACTAAGTGAGGGAGAGAAGAGGCAGATTAAATGCAGGGAGAAATGAAGGGAGACGAGGACGGACGACGGCAGACTGATCCAAAGATGAACGATTGTTAGACATGTACCTTCTGGTATTGATCTTTGGAGGCCAAAGCTTCCTCGAGCTGCTGCTTCGTGTAGGTGTAGATGGCAGAGCGGTATACTGTCCCAATATCGTTCCCCTGCCGCATTCCTGAACACACACACACACACACACACACACACACACACAGAATGCGAACATCAAGACCGGAGGATTTCAGCTGACGTGAGGCACCTTCGTCCTCAGTTCTTGGCAGAGAGAACATCACATCATCTAAAAACAACAGCTGACAGCATTTCCAAAAATACGACTTGTCTGTCTTGGCAGAACTGAGCGCTGTTTTTGACTGTGATCTGATCAAATCATCACATATCCTTTCATCATTTTAATGTCAGCTTGTCAGCCTGTCGACCACAGTGTTTGGTTGGCTCGGTGGCGTGCCAGCGTGTGCAGCCAGTGATGGCGATGTGTGCCGGTCAATCTGTCAGTCCCGCATTTTGGTTTAAAGTGAAATATTTTTGTTACAGAAATTTATGAACCACAAAGTCAAAAAGACTTTGGTCACCTTGTGACTTTTAAGTTTGTGCAACATACAGGTCACCATTTCTGCATTTCACTTCACGACATGACATTATCTTTATTCTTTGTGTTGCTGTTTGCTGTAATTTTATCATTCACCCTTTATTCTATTCTGGATAGTGTGAACAGTACCAGCACTTTTAATGTCTTCAAGCTGTTTTACTGTGTTTACGTTTCATGTTTTTCTGTTTTCATGCAGCAAAAACAGGACGATAAAGATCTGAACTGAGCTGTAGTTGTGAGTGTGCCTGTGGTGAGGCTGTACCTTGAGTCGGGTCATGGCTTTCCCAGAAAACTTTGAGGAGGCTTGCGAAGCATATCTGGTCGGGATGGAAAACAACTCTCACCACCTCAGCGTGGCCTGTCCTACCTGCACAACACAACATTTATCTGATAAAATAATAAAAACAACAGAACAATCATTTCACTGTTATCAATGTGGTGTTAATAAGAAGTTGCTCCAAATCAGAACTTAACTATTTTCTGTTATACATATTTTCATTTTATCTTCATGAATAAAACCTTCAAGTCAAGGTACAATATGTGAGCTTCTTTTTGCCCCATTGTATGAAAATAACTAAAAAAAAAAAAACATTTCTGTCACAATCCCAGCCCTGGTCCTGTCTCTGTTCCATCTTTTTTAGCCCTGTTTCTACTTTAGGACTTTTAGTTTTCTTGGTTGAGAAGTTTTTAATGGCAGAAAGCTCCAGAACAAGTGAGTAAGTGGACCTTGAGCTGAGATTCTTCTGTCAACTTCTGTTTTCACAGTCAACAATAAACTGAACTGTCAAGTTCAACCTTTAATCTGCTGATGAAGACCATGAATTGAAAGCCCTGAAAGAAGCGAGTAAGTGAACTGTTTATTAACAATACTATTCCCAAATTCAAGAACAAACTGTCAAGCTCGAAATACATGAAGTATTCTGGAATATTTAGAAATTCAGTTCAGGCAAAAATAAAACACCCGAGAAGCCCAAATTGTCTCCCAAACAACAGGTACTGTCTTTAAAAAGCCCTCATCATTCCAAGGCTAATGTAAATGTTTAAGCATAACAGCCGATGACTCCTGCAGACAGACCGACAGCAGGCGGTGATGGTAATGAGTGTGACCCACTGGGCTGCTCCTCATCTTCTTGCCGTCTCTCATTCTACTTCCACTCCTATCTCTCTCTGTCTTATTACTTTTTTAATATCGGGAGCTATGGATTCCTACGACAGACACTGGCGAACAGAGACAAAGCAGCGGTCGATATTAAATTAATGCCTCACCAGGCCAATCTCGCAGGAATAAATTGTGGACAGGAAGAGAAATAAAGTGGTGGATGGAAGCAGAACAGAAAGTAAAGCTGCAGGCGGTCACTGTCCATATAATGGACAACAAAATGATCTCATATTCTCACTCGGTCACTATTTTAACATAAACAACTGACTGTGGTAGTTAACCAAGGAAGATCTGTGGAGAGTGAAGACCAACAGCAGCAAATATAAAATATACAAGACCCACACTGATCAGCCAAAACATTATGGCCACCTGCCTCAAAACATGTACAGCTGGTTTGATTCCATATTTATACCGTCAAGAGCAGAAATGTGTCGACCATTCAGTGGAAAACTTAACGGAGTGAAAACTGTGGTCATGAGGATGAGTTAGAGGGAATATTTGTTGTTTTTTTAGACAAATTCAGCAGCCTCCCCGCTCAAGGTGTGATATCACCACTACAGCCACTGAACGTTTATCTTCATAAAAACCAATGCACAGTATTTCTCATTTTTAACCATTTTAACAAAGATTGAAACAAAATGGGATCTTCTGAAAAGGGTGAATGAAATTTAGTTTCTGTAGTTTAATCTACAGTACAGGATGAGAATCAGCACCTCCAAGTCCGAGGCCATGGTTCTCAGTCGGAAAAGGGTGGCTTGTTCCCTTCAGGTTGGTGGAGAGTTCCTGCCTCAAGTGGAGGAGTTCAAGTATCTTGGGCTCTTGATCACAATTGAGGGAAGGATGGAACGGGAGATTGACAGGCGGATCGGTGCAGCTTCTGCAGTAATGCGATCGATGTACCGGTCCGTTGTGGTAAAGAAGGAGCTGAACTGTAAGGCGCAGCTCTCGATTTACTGGTCGATCTACGTTCCAACTCTCCCCTATGGTCATGAACTTTTGGTCATGAGCTTCCTCCTTGTTGGGTCCCTGTGTTTAGATGTTCACCCCACACAAGATGTTTTGTGAGTCAGCGCTATCACCATCATTGTAGATTCTTCAGCTGTTAACAGTAAAAAAATAAACATACATTCCTGAGACTTTGGAGGACGATGTTTTGAAAATAAATAATGATGAGCACACTGAGACAGTGTGGGAGTTAATAAACCCAACAGTACAGGTACTTTCTTAAAAAAAAAAAAAAACATGTAAATTTAATCATCACATTTAGAGCCTTCACTGAACTGAGTGTAAATATTGAACCAATAATGAATATTCAGATCACTCCTTTTTTATGCCTCTCCTGAAGATGTGAAGGTGTGAGGAGCACTCCATTTAGCCAAGTGCCCTCTTTCAATACTCCGATTAAAAAACACACATCTAGCAGTTCAAACCAGGTACAAATCTGGCTGTTGTTACAAAACGTTTTTAGAAACAGCCAGAGCAGAGAAGCTAACGCGAAGAGAGACAGTGCAAAAGTCTTAGGTCACCATTCGATTTGTTGTGTTTTAGCAATGTTAAGACGGCTACATATATTAAGGATAATAAAGTTTATTGCCAAGTATGTTACACACAAGGAATTTGTTTCTGGTACAGAACCAAGACAGCCATTTGTGCCGACTCAACCGATGGCTCTAACCATCGGGGGCAACGGGGGGGGGGGGTTCAGTGTCTTGCCCAAGGACACTTCGACATGTGGACTGCAGGCACCGAGATTAGAACCTTCAACCTTGAGGAAGCCACTTTTTCAGAAGGGGACAGGAAGAAAAAGCAGAGACATGCAAAAGCTCACAGAGACTGGAGTGAAAATCAGTGGAAAAGTCTAAGGAGTGATGAGTTGAAGTTTGAAATGTTCAGGTAAATGGTCTTATAGATGTATAGCGCCTTTCTATGCTTTTACAGCACACTCAAAGCGCTTTCACATTATTTGGCCATTCACCCATTCGCACTCCCAAGCACTCACGCATTCACACACCGGTGACATCACCGAGAGCAACTGGGGGTTCAGTGTCTTGCTCAAGGACACCTCGACATGTTGACTGGACAAGCCGGGAATCGAACCGCTAATCCTCCGGTTAGGAAACGACCCGCTCTACCTCCTGAGCCACAGCCGCCCCCAGGTCCAGTCAGTATGTGAGAACAAGAGTTGGAGAGAGATGGAAGAATGAGAGTAGTGGCCTTCAGTGACACACGGTGGAGGATCTGTCAGGGTTTCAAGACTTTAGGACCGTCTCCCCAAAAGAATTCACGCGGTGCTGAGTGAGGTCACACTATGTACTGACTTTAGACTGTAGAAGCCAGTTTGTTGTAAAAATGTTGTTTCCTGTATTTTCTGGTTATATCTTAATAAAGAGACTGAGGAAAAAATATAAATTATCATTAGAACTTTGCTAAAACAGCTAAACTAAGTGTCCTAAGACTCTTGCACCGTATGTTAGAAACTATGTCTGCTATAATATCTGAATGTGCAGAAAACGAGAGGCGAGCTGGAAGGTGTGAGAAGTGGCCACTCCTGTGCAGGTCCACTTGTCTGCTCTCTGTGTCTTTATAAAACCCTGCGCTAAATACAAATTCATGAAGTTGAAATATTTTTGAAATATTTTGAAGTGCCGTCGTCTCAGTTCATCGCCGTCTTGGTGAATTTGCATTTAATTACTTCTTTCCATTGACGTTTCATGCCATCACTGTAACATTCACTTCACATTCTGTCTCAACACACATTTGGTCTCGTACCATCACTGGTATTAGTTTTTTTCCTGCCCTGTAACAATTCTGACATCTAGTCTGGATCTACTGACTGCAGTTTTCTTACTTGCTGTGTGATTTGCTGTTTCAATTAATATAGTTTTCACATTATCACAACTGCTTGCAATAAAATTATAAAAGGCAACTGCTGTTTTCAACTTTTGTCTGTAAATGTCAGTAGCTAGCTGTGCACCTGCACACGCAGTATCGGCCTATCCATCTATCAACAAATCAGCGAAACTGTGCAGATTGTTTGACAGACATTTGTTTTACTGCTTCTACACAGTGTTTGGAAGATTAAAACTGGGCTAGTAAAAGACACAGGTGGTGATGCAGGTCTAATGATGGATTTACTGTGCACTGGCTGACTGGAGGAATCACTGGGAGGTGTGGATGCACAGAAACACACACACAGTCCCTGTTCGTAGAGGTCAGGCATCAGTAGCTGCCTTATCAATGCCCAGTATAATAAGCCCTGGGTGAAACGATTCACTCTGCATGTGCATCTTGTTTTCCAGAATCTACTGCCTTTCAATAGACAACACATTGCCTGCTGTGTGTGTGTGTGTGTGTGTGTGAGAGAGAGAGGTGCTACCTGTGCAGACTTCCTTGTATGAGGGGTTAGGTGTGTGTCCTCCAGAGTAGCCTACTTGGGTGGAATAAACTCCTTTTTGTCTCCAAAACTTCCTCTCCGCTCCCCAGAAACAGCCCATCCCTTCAACACAAGAAAACCACCTATGATAAACAGTCTTTAACAACCATAACATGACGGAAAAGACCTGGTCAGGCTGTGAAGACTCTAGAGAGTCATTTAAATCATCTTCCCTTATCAAGGAAACAAATTATGTGCTGTGATGTTGGTATAACATTAGTATCCAATACCTGAAATAAACCACAACACAGATTTCAGATCAAACCAACACAAGGCTCGGTACACACCTTATTTTGACCACAAGACACTTACCAAACACGACCATCTCTGTCCCCTCTGGAAAAGGTGGAACAGTCCTGTTGCCATTCACATGATGTTTGGCTGCATGAGAAAGTGACAAAGAGAGCGGTTATGAACATTAAGAATGACATACACATATATCTGTAAACGCCTCTGAAAGACACCAGCTGATCACTAAAGACAGGCCGATGGACGGAGACATAGTTACTTTATTGATATCTACAATCTCTGTAAGGGTTTAGATCTATATCTAGGTCAGTGCAGGAGACGGCAAGACAGCGTAATGTAGCTCTGCTTATACTTATTTCAGCCTTGGAAGGGTTGGTCTGCAGATTAATGAAAGACTTTTTTACCATTTAAACAACTATTTTTTTAATTGTTGTTTAAATTGTATAAAATTTCAGTTTTTCCTGAGAACTGCACGTCTGTCAAGAGTAAAAGCCTCTAAATGAGCATTAAGACCTTTCATCTCTCTCCATGCGCCACTCGGTTTCCATACTAGTCTCTATAGGTACCAGTGATGTAATGCAGGTACAGCCAGTGTCATATGGGTGTTGCAAACAGTAAAATTCTCCCACACACCAAAGACAGAATTTGCAAACAGCTGATAAACCACATTCATATGCTTATTGATAATCAAGAGAAAATTTCTCTCTCTCTATTGCATATATAATTTATTTTAAACTAACAGGGTGTGTTTTCATTGGAGTGGGCCACAAAATGCAGTACTGAATATGCCTGAAAGGTGCACACACACACACACACACACACACACACAGTGACCCACTTAAAGAGTGGAGAGCAGCTCTGCATAATTTCATAGCAGCTGCATTCACTCCAATCAGCGAAGAGCCAGAGGTGCACGAGGACCCATTTGAGGCCACCCAGCCACCTGGCTCAACTAACATGCATTAGCATTAGCATGCTGGAGGCTCTGTGCATGTGTGTGTGCATGTGTGTGCAGATGGCTTGCTGTACAATACTGTGGGGGAGGGAGATGGATTAAAATAAATGGGAACAAAGATGAGTGGCCCTTTAAATACACCACTGTAATTACTTAGTCTGTGTTGACTGCATCAAAACAACATATACATACTGTACACACACACACACACACACACACACACACACACACACCATCTTCATGCATGGTAGCGTAATTGTCATGCCTATAGACGAAAGCAGCCAGATGGATTCTGCCAACCAACCAATCAGCACACATACACAAACATCAAAAATTATTTGTTTTCCTCGGTTTCAATTTTACATCATGAAGTCAAAGTCTTTATTTCAAAAAGAAATAAAACCACGCACACACACACACGTCATCTGAATCGCTAGGAGTCGTCCTTGTTTACTTGATTTTGTGAGCAGCCTTTAATCCCGTTGAAGCCCAGCGAGCGTCGGTACGGTGCTCCGACACACACAAGCCTTCACATTCTCATCTCCCTCTATATTCTGAGGGAGGAAGGTTCGCTGCAGCGTTTCCCATGTTGCCTGGATGCTGAGGAGGCAATGAGTGCAGCTCCTCACGTTCAGTCCCTTTACAGTCCTGTTAAGTCAATTTGACTTCCCCTTACGCAGTATTATTATTGTCAGTTTGTCAGACTGAACACAACAGTAGCTGTGGATCCACACCAAAACTCCCACGTCCACTGCAGCGAGGAAGGAAGACGCAACAAAGCAATTTGGATAGAAAGAAATATTAAACTTAGCCTTGTCCTACAATAAAATCAAACTTCATTTGTATGTTGTCAACAGCATTTTTAATACAAACAAGTACTGCATTGTGCTTCACAAATAGGCAGGAGACGATGGGCCAAAACATTAACAACAAAAACAAAAAATAAAGCTTAATATAAAAGATACACAATGAAAATGACAAATTACAATAAACAGGACAACTAAATTAAATAATATCAACAGCACTGCTATATGTTGGTCCTGTAGCCTCCTTTAAAATCTAGACTAAAGTCAATGTTTACCATGTATTGTTGTGCATTTTTATTTAAAAACAAAGTGCGCACAAAAAAGTGTTTCCTTCTGTGCGTTGTGTGAGCCACATCAAAACAAAAAGCATTGCCTTGCAATGGACACCAAAGTGTTTCTGATTCCGATTCCTGAGTGTCGTTTTGAATCCACATTTGATTGTTTGACCATAATGTGGCACGAGCACTTTCATTTTCCAATCACATTTATGACACCGTGCGCTGTCACGTTCACTATTTGCTTGATGAGAAGGGTCAAAACATTTTAATTTCAAACATTAAAATGCTACCGTCCAGTGATGTTATGTCCCATGTCCTAACAACAGTGAACAATACAAACAAAACCATTATTATTATTATTTTGTCATATTCTCATCATCATCAAGCTCCAGTTTTCAGACACTAAAAAAACTGCATTGAAATTCTAAACGCTGAAGACCTGGAACTCATGAGTGACTTTTGTCTTGAAACATAAACTATGCTTCACTCCAAAAAGCATCAGCCTTCAAAGAGCTGTACATCTTCATTATTTCTAATGAAAATGTAAAGTCCTGCATCTTAATACTGGTACACATCCTCTGCCACCTCCTCCTCCTCCTCTCACATTATCCAGTGTGTGTTAGTAATGGCTGCCTTCAGGGACCAGCAAAGGCACGTTCATTATTGGCTACAGACACACAAACATACACACACACACACACACACACACACACACACACACAAAACCCGGAGACGCTTTCACACACATATGCGCTGAGAGATAAACAATTTAAATGTAAATGTCAGTGAGGAAAGACAATAAGTCCGGACAGAATACTAATGAGTCTAACAGCTCATTGTGTGTGTATGTGTGTACATAAGTGTACATAAAGGAGAACAAGATTGTGGAAAAAGCAAAGACACAAACACATATAGCCTCTGAAATTAGTAGCCAACTGTTTGTATCACTGTAGAACACACACACACACACACACACACACACACACACACACACAACCTGTACAGTTATTTCTGGGATGATAATAAGTGCTGGTAAAACCACAAACACTCAATTAACCAGAGATAAATGAGAAAACGTTTCTGCTTTTAGAGTCAACACGAGCTTTGGCTTGGTGTTTGGTTCCGTCTCCTCAACAGGACTCCACTGCTCGAGTTCCCACAGACCTGACGCAGCCTGAACATCAGCCATCGACACTGGATTCATTCAACGGTTTTCTGTGAGCATTTACACATTTCATCTGCGTGGTTTATGACCTGTGCGACCACTTGTGATGCTACTGAACTGGTGCTGCAGAGGAAAAAAAAAAGGCTGCTAAATAAAATGGGTGTACGCTGCATGACCAAGAGCTTTTAGCCCCATAGTTCTTCACTGAAATTTGTGACCTCCGGATACGCAGACATCAACAAGGTGCCTCTAATGACACTTTGAGCTTAAACTAATGAAATCTAATCCAACAGTCCTGCAGTAAATCCTCCTTCACCAAGGTGATACCGTTCAGTTTTTGCTGAATCTGTTTCAGAGGCACTGATTCCACTGTATGATCATTTTGGAGACTGTACTTTGTGTTGCTGAATTCCACAGACAGGGTGGCCCAACACCTTTAGCACGTTATTTCTTTTATTTGTCACCTGTCTGTATTACATTATATCATCTACTATATTCAGCAACAAGGATAAGATTCCTTACTAGCTTCTTCCACAATAGCGCTAAAGGTACTGCTACTGTGAATCACAGTCACCTCAGGAATCACTACCAGGTCTCTGAGGAGGTGAACTTTGGCCCCAAATGCACCCTGCTCCTGCATTTCTTCCTTTTGCTTTCTCCACAGTGAGGTTTTGTCTGCACCACAGCAGTGTCTAGAAAATTAAACAAGGTAGGAAACTGTGAAGTAAAGTACAAGGCTAAGATGAGTAATTTCCCAAAGACAAGAAAGAAAGAAAGAGATGAAAATGAACACCTTTTCAAAAGCATTCATTATTATTCTAGTCACACAAACACACACTTGTACTTCTATCTTTGTAAGGACACTCATTGACTTAATATATTCCCTAACCCTAACACTTAACCATCAGACCTAAATGCCTAACACCTAACCTGAACCTAATTCTAACCTGAACCCTAAAACCAAGTCTTAAACCCTGTTTCACAAAGTGAGGACCAGCAAAAATGTCCCCACTCTGCAGCAAAAGGTAGTTTATTCGGTCCTCACTGTGTAGTACAAGAACACACACACAGACACACAGTCTGAATATACAGAGGCATTTTTCTGGAAAGCAATTATTTCATGCAACTCTCCTTTGAAATGCTTGTTTTGCTGGTCGCCTTTATCTCTCTGGGAAAGATAACAATATTTCTTGTAGATTAATTGAATTCATATTCTTGTGTGAGGTTGAATACAGCAATGTGTGTGTGTGTGAGACTTGAGACGGTGGGTTTATTGTATTTTCACAGCATTGTTTAACCTTGCATTAGCACTCTAACCAGACTAACACAGAGGCTGTGCAAAGGGACATACAACATATCCTGTTTGTCACATACTTTTGCTTAGATGCAGGCACTCGGACATTAGGAGGAAGGCTATATCGGGCCTCATACGACACATGCTGCCATTTAAATAGAGGGAAATTATTTCCATGAGAGAAATCATGTTTGTTTTAACTGTAAAAGCCAGTCTCTGTCAGTTTGTTCTGGAAGCTGTTTTTTTTTTTATTTGGTGGTAAAGACAGGAATGAGGTTAAAAAAGCACTTAAGGATACTTCATAGCAAACAGAGAGCTGCTTCATTATAGATACACCATTTGTGTATGTGTGTACATGTCTTTTCTATCGTTGTGTGAACAAATTCTGATTGGAAACCCTCACTGTGAGGACATTCTGGTCCTTCCCACATTAGGAGAGCTTGGTTCTGGGGTTAAGGTTATAATTAGTGTGGATACCTGAACTAAGTCCGATGGGACCCTTCGGTACCTAAAGTTCAGGTCGAGTTCAGACAGAAATTTAGAAATTTTGTTCGGACATGCATGTAAATGATGGCTAGAGCTCTCAAATGTCTGCTTTATTTAACCATAAGGGGAGAAACACCGTACAAACTCA